GTGCGTTTGGACTCCACAGTGTGTCATCCCTGTAGTGTCTTCACTGGGGGATCACTATGTTCCAACACTCTGCCCTGTGTTGGTGCTTGAGTTTCCTGTTCTCCCTGTAGATTTCACAAGAGCAGAGGCATTTCTCCTAGATCAGAAAGATGTGCTGTAGATGTAGGCTGTGCTCTGTCCTTAGTCCTCTAGACTTGTCCATAATATACAGTATGTAGGACCACAGTCCCTTGTAAGCAGGGTGTCTATTCCTTTCCATGTTTCTCTCTGCTGTTGCTCTAGGGGTTGTTGAGGTTTTATCTTTTACTGTCTATTGTAATGCTAAGTGCAGGGCCCCTAAGACCTGAAGTCGATAGTAGCCCTTGTGACCCTCCCCTGCCTCCCCCCAAGATAATTCTCACTGGTAAATAAAGATGCCAACAGCCAGTAGCCGGGCAGAAGAGACATAGATGGGGTTTCGTGGACTTGAGGGAAAGAGGAGGACCATGAGGAAAGAGATTGGAGGAGGAGGAAGGAGAAGTACCATGGGTTAAGAGGCAAGAGAGTGTGGCCCTAAGGGCTGCCCAATTGAAGCTAAGAGCAGCCTAGATGAAACATAGTAATCACTCGGGGTTATCGACAGGAAATAGATCCTAACAGCATGGAAGGCAGATATCTGCCCAGCTCTTGTTTTTTAAAGGCTTATTGTAAATAGAAAGGCTGTGAGTATGTCTTTCATCTGGGAACTTAAATAACTAAGGTGGAGTAGAAACCTTGAGCCAGAATTTAAATAATTACTACAACAAGGGATGGATGTCCAGGTGTGTGTCTCTACCCTACTCCTTGTACCTACTCGAAACTGGTTTACTGCCTTAGGGCTTTTATCTCCCGTTTCTTTGGATTTTAGTATTCACTGAAGTTTAATCAAGGGAGAACTGCATGCTGAGCAAAATATACTGATTCTTAGCTAAACTTTGGAAAAGCTGTTTTTATGTAAAATAATTTAGGCTTGGCTTTAGATAATCATCATCAGGCTTCTAATTTATATTTGAGAGTTGAACGTGATACACCTTGGTGCTCATCCACCATTCAGACTCTAGCCATCCAAAGAAAAGACTGTGCTCTCTCCTTGCTGTAAACAAAATTATTGCTTCAGAATTATAGAGTGCTTACCACTGAGAGTCACTAGCTGAGGACCTCAGCACCACACGTCTCTCATAAACTCATCCTTCAGTGGCTCCATCTCCTCCTGACTCATTTGACTTGTGACCACTTCTACCGCAGGAATTGTTTACTGGTGTCATGGACTTGGAAGATGGTCCACAACACATACGTCTGTCATTCGTTCAGTTCTTCTGTCAAAGGCTAGAAATTGGTGAGGACTCAGATTGGCCTGGAGATGAACTTCAACCTTCTGTACAATCATGATCAGCTACCTCCAAACTTTGGTGTGTGTGTTCATGTTTGTGCAAGTGTATGCAGGTGACAGTGCATGTTGGAGGCCAGAGGGCAATACTAGGTGTTTTCTTCAGTTGCTCACCACCATACTTTTTTACAGTCTCAAACTGAACCAATTGTGAATTACCAATTTGACTAGACTGGCCAGGCAATAAGCCTCAGGAATCTTCCTGTCTCCAAATCCCCAGAGTTGTACCATGCCTGGGTTTTATGTGGGTACTGGGAATTCAAAGTCATGTTCTCATGTGTATACATCCAGCAACTGAGCTGTCTCCCCAGGCTGTCAGCCACCTCAAATCTCAGTCTTCTACATGGAACTTTAGGAAAGGGCTACACAAATGAAGTTGTCCTTGTGAGTCTTCCTTCTCATTCCCCTATCTTTTGGTTACCTTGATGTTCTTAATCCCAGTCTAGTCACTGCTAAGGACACAAAGAGTCCTAAACCTGGTCCTGTCTCATAAGTGAGATTAAGCAACTAATTGTGTGTATACCAAAGCATGCAAAAGTAGAATCTCCAGCAGAGTAGAAGAACATGAAATCTGAACTAGGTTTAAAGGAACAGTTAGGAACCAGGCAAGGAAAGGAAGAACAACCCAAGCAAGGAAAGACAAGTATATGGGAAGAAGACCATAGAGTGAAGGGCAAGTGTCTACGCATGGGAAGGGAACAGGGGAAGAGAAAGGGAAAGCTAGCTCCTGGCCTTTCATCCACAGAGGAGGATGAAGGTGATGAAGTTAATTTGTGAAATGAGACCTTCAAGACTATTCTCTTGTCTCTACTAGCCCAGAAGAACTAGATCTGAAGCCACAGGCTTCATTCCACACTGGCGTCCACAGCAGCTTCCTGAAGCCCCGAGGACTACAGCCCAGACACCCTGACCCTGTCTCCAAGCTCCTTCCAAAGCTGCAGCTTTCAAAGGGCTTTTGATTGTCGACCTCAGGAAGAAATGTGTTCTTTGCTGTGCCCTGGTAATATGACCATACATAAAATAAAAATTGAAAATTTCTAGGGAAATATATGTACATTACTAAAATTAATTTTGATGTGTTGTTTTCAGTTCTATTAGGAAGGATGAGAGGGAGGCAATTGGGGGGAAAAGGGGAAAACATAGCAAAAAAGCCTAAATTAAACATGTAAAACACCAATATACTCTAATAGTGAGACATTAACTGCTTGAAGCCAGACGCAGTGATTTGTGATGGCCTCTGCCCTACTTAAAGCCTAAACCCCAAGACTCTGGCACCTCATCCAAACAGCCAGCCTTAGGAAAGACAAGTGATGTTATAACAACTACTCCTAATAAGCAAGTGAGCTGTCTTCCTCTTATCTATTCAAATGGACCCTGCACAGATGGTCCAGGAAAGGCAGCCATGTAACTTAACTGCAATAAAGGATCTTTTCCCTGTATGGATTCCTTCCTATAAGGATCCATTCTTATAAGGATCTCTTCCCCATAAAAATGCCTTCTCTATAAGAATCCCCTGCTATAAGAAGTGGTTTTTTTTCTCTGAGAATCTGCTCACTGTGCATCTGTCCACCATATCTATTCTTTATTAAAACTTTTCTTATGTCAATTCTGGACAGAAAATACTTTTCCCCCATGACTGTGGCTCTTCATTCCCAGCATGACAGAAGGGAAAGAGAGAAAAAGAAGCTGAGTGGGACCACAAAATTGGTCTCACCACCCAGTGAGTCACAACTCAGTCTGAGAAACCCTGACTGGGGACTTGCAGCCTAGTTTAGATGCGCCAGAATGCTGTACTGTGCAGTGACTAAAAATACAGACTTAGGGAACAAGCTGCAAATTCAAGCCCTCTTCTCCCACTTACTATGTGTGGGAATCTGGGCAACCTATTTATGCTTTCTATGCCTCAACTTCTTGTCTGCGTAATGGGATGACAGCAGCAGCTTTCTCCCACAGTTGGTACAAAGACTAAATGAAGCCCCATTTGTGGGAAGTCTGGAAAATAGGCATCGAATAGGTGCTGCCTAAAAGTATGAGCTGGCCAGGCAGTGGTGGCGCACGCCTTTAATCCCAGCACTTGAGGGACAGAGGCAGGTGGATTTCTGAGTTTGAGGCCAGCCTGGTCTACAGAGTGAGTTCCAGGACAGCCAGAACTACACAGAGGAAATCCTGTCTTGAAAAAACAAAAACAAACAAACAAACAAAGTATGAGCTGCCAGCAACATCATCACCACCATCATCACCATCACCACCATCAACACCTTCACTACCACCAACCCCACCACCACCTCCACCATCACTGCCACCTTTGTTCTTCCAGTTATTTTATCCTAAACCAAACCTCACTTATAGCAGCACTGCCAAGAGAATACTAAGGCAACAGTAAAGAGTTTATTTCCAAAGCTAAACAAAAACCACACTGTGTTTATGGTAAGTTGTGGAGATGCCCTGGGATTTATCTCATACAGACTCCACCCCACACCTGTTTGCAGAAGAGAGTCAAAAGGACTGTCCTCTGCAGCCTAGAGAACAGGGCCCTTCTGCCTCCTCCTCCTCCTCCTCCTCCTCCTCCTCCTCCTCCTCCTCTTCCTCCTCCTCTTCTTCTCCTTCTCCTTCTCCTTCTTCTCCTCCTCCTCCTCCTCCTCCTACTCCTCCTCCTCCTTCTCCTTCTCCTTCTCCTTCTCCTTCTCTTGGTTTTTTGAGACAGGGTTTCTCTGTGTAGTCCTGGCTGTCCTGGAACTCACTCTGTAGACCAGGCTGGCCTCAAACTCAGAAGTCTGCCTGCCTCTGCCCCCTGAGTGCTGGGATTAAAGGCATGTGCCACCACTGCCTGGCTTCTGCTTTCTTCTAACAAATGAGCTTTCTTCACTGGAATTCTGTGATCTGTCTAGACCCTCAAGCCCTTGGTGAGGGTTTCTGCTATGCCTGAATGCTGCTGTTCCTCCCTAAAAGTCATATATTAGATTTCATCCCCCAATAAATAATATCAAGTGAAGGAGTGTTTAGAAGAAGATTGGGTCAGAGGTCTCTCCCCTCAGAGATGGGATGAACGCCCCTTATAAACCAGACCTTGTGGATCCCTGTCACATTTTGCCAGAAGAGGACACAGCAAGAAGGCACCATGTGTTTTCTTAACAGAAGGCAGCTTGTCACCAGACACCTTGATCTTAGCCTTCCCACCTCAGGAACCGTAAGCAGTAAATCCCTGTTGTTCATATGTTCATATGTTACCCCACCTAAGGTATTTTGTTATTGCAGCTACACAGGCTAAAAATGTCCTTCTTACAATGAATCCTTGGGTCTACACTAGGATGTGAGTCTACAGATAGAAAAGACGCCATCTCTTTTCTCATCAGCTCAGTGGCCTCCATCCACTAAGGGACAGCCCACAAAAAGGGTTTAAAAGAAGAAAGAAAGGCAAACCTCTAATCATTCCAATGTCTAGCATGTACTAACCCATATCAACCAGCACACCAGATACCTAGACGGAAAAATTAAAAGGCAGCTGCCATCAGATAGGTGGGAAGCCAAATTTCTAGAACATTCTACCCATTTGCAAAGAGCCAATATAGGAAATAAAAACACTGGAGACTCGAAGTAAATGTTTCATTGGTCATGATGATCAAAAGATGACAATGAACAGACGCACACAGACCTTATCCCACCCCCTGCAGGGCGGGTCTCACTCCATCCAGACTGGCTTGTCCAGCTGGATCTGCAGCCACCACCCCACCAGGACTCTGCCCTTCATTCTGAACTTCTACCCCGGTTCACATCTTCTCTCCACTCAGAACCTGGAGGCCGGATGTCCAGGCAGAGCCGTGAAAAGCGGGGGGCCTTGGCCCAAGTCTGCAGTCAGCGGACAGTGTCACAATGTCCTCGGGCTCATCTTCAACTCCTTTTCCACATTCTCTCTGTCCCCTCTCCCACCCCATCATTGTTCCCCAGAAACAAATAGGATGGCTTCACTGGTCAATCTTTTACATGTACAAACACCAAAAGCAGAGGAAACGCCCCTTGGCCACCCCCCTCCCCCCGAACCCCAGTGCTGGGAGAGCAGCCAGCAGCCTAGGCTGCTGGAACCAGGTTGCTGCGGGAGCTGTCCGGCTGTCCTGGAAACTTCCTTGGCCTCTGGGCTTTACCTGGAGGCCTCTTCCTTCAGCTCCTTGTTTTTCCGCACCTCCTCTGCGTGCTTGTCCTGGGAAGGAAGGGAGGGACAAAGGCAGGTCACACAAGGCTGCCAGGGGAGGGCAAAGGGCAAGAGAATGGAACGCAAAAGATGGTCACCATAGGCAGAGCAGAGCTGTCAGCGAAGGTATCCTAAGGGTGGAAGGAGGCAAGTAAGACGCTAGACACAGATGTGTAAGCCTGCAAGTGCACAGAGTGCATGGGCTGGTGAGTCCCCACATCCTACAGGGGACCCACCTCACAATGACTCCAAGACACCCTAGGCTCTCTCTACCTCCACTGCTCATTCTGGCACTTGGAATGGTCACTTGACTTGACTAAATATAAGGGGCCACTTGGGACAGCCAGTTTAGGAGGAATGGAAAAAAATCAGCCCATTGCCAGCATCCCTGACACACCACAGATGTGTTATTTCTTTCCCGTCTCCCGTTGTCTTAAATCTCTGACTGAAGGAGGAGGACCCTTGAGTTACATACTGACAGAGAACTGTTGGGAAATAGTGCTTGACTCGAGACAATGTATTCCCTTACATGGGTTAGAAGACAACCTTCATTTGCTTTGTAACATAATTCAGCCAAAAGACTAGATCTGCCTTCCCACCCCGGGCCAGCTGTGTGACCTTAACTGACTGTCTTTCCTAACCAGGCCTCAACTCCTTGGACCTTTCCAGAGGGACGAGAATGGGCAGCTGGCTCAGCTCTGAAACTCTGTGACAAGTGTCCACTCATGGGACCATGTCACACCTGCCTCCACGTCATTCCAGATCACTAAATAAGTATCTGTGCCCTTGGAGGCTTGGAACATGTATGTTTTTCTTCTTTCTTTTTCCCAGTCCCTACTGTGAGAAGCAAAAGGTACCCAATGATCCTCCTCCCAGATCCTGGTGTTTCCACATCTGGATGGCAGATTAACCTGGAATAGACCCACTGAGGACACCCAGGTTCCTAAGATACAACTTCACCAAGAAGTTTATCTTTCCAGAGGCCCCTGGAAATTCCCTCAGGCTGAAAGCAAGGAGCGGTATGTCTGGTTCTCAAATTCTGATATGTATCACATGACCTGGAGTCCACACGGTCCTCAGAACTTACCCCTAGAAAGCCAGGCAGTCTGGGCTGGGGATTTTACTCCTAGGAATTCTGGTCATGACCCAAAACACAAGAGCTATTGTTGATATTTAAGGTGTCCCTGGTCTGTGGATAGAGATAACGAGGAGAGGGGCTCTCAACTTTGCCTCCTGCTCACAGTGAGTAACTGTGAGTGGAGATCAGGTCTCAGAGAAAAACTGTCCTCTCAAATGTCTGATCTGGCATCTTGACTCTTAGCTTCTATTTGACATGCACAGATGTCTTTCCAATACAACCTGGCCAATCTACCTCTGCCTCCACCTCTGTTTTCAAGGCTATGCAGAGCCCTGGGTTTCTGGCCTCTGCTTGCTTGGTCTCCAGAAACCCCTTGCTGATGAAAAGCTAGTGAGATAATGCTGGAATGTTCTCTCTGAGCCAGGCAAGAGAGCAGCCACTTGGACAGGAGGCTAAGGACAGCTCTACTGTCAGATCCATTACCATGCAAATCTCAGCGACTCGTTTGACCTCTGGAATGGTTTCCTTATCTGAACTAAGAATATTTGCCTCATAAACTTGTGATGACCATGTTATGACAAAATTAAAGTATTTTGTAAACAAATGTTGCTCCAATATACTCTAGCTTTGTGATATGTTTTAAGCTGCGTCTATAACCCCATAACTCTCCCATTCAAACCGTAGTTTCCTCAAGAATTTACCTTGGGGTTGGGGCTATGGTTCTGTTGGCAGAGTGCCTACCTTGCACATACAAAGCCCTTGGTTCAAGCCCCGAACCTGCATAGAATAGGCTTGGTGGCACACATCTGTAATTCCTGCACTTGGAACTGAAGGCAAAATGATAAGAAATTCAAGGCTATCCTCAGCTATATAGCCAGTTTGAGGCCAGCCTAGAATACATGTGACCCAATATTAAATAATAAAGGCAATTTTAAGTTTTCCTACAGTATCTCTCATTAACTGGAGAAGCCCAAAGTCACACTCAGATTATGTCCCTCCCCTAAGGCACTCAGTGGAGAAAGAAGCCTTGCTGTCCCTTGTGGAATTGAACATGAGCACGGGGCTGCCACCTACTGGCCAGCCTGTGCAGCTCACATTCCTGGATGAAGCCAGATCTTTCTGGTAACTGTTTCAAGGGCCTGAGGTTCTAGGTGGGTAGGCAGGAAGGAATAAGGACCACGCTGCTCACCATGGGACGAGGCCACCGATCGGTCCCGGGAGTCACCGCGCAGCAGGCGGCTCCTGGAAATAAAACACAGAGCTAAAGCTTCCCAGGAGCTGCAGGAGAAACTGAGGCAGCCTGGGACTCAGGGAATGAGGCCAGCATGTCTTCCAAAGAATGACACAGAAGACCAACCCCAGTCTATCACACTGCTCATATGCAGGTGACATTTGAGTTATTGACAAAGGCAGACTATTGAGGAAAATCTACTACTCTCTGGCCCTTAGGAAGAGCTCTGGGGAGAATCCTGTATCCTACTGTATTGGCAACAGAGCTTGTTGTATCCCTGGCTCAGAGCCATGCTCAAGTTAGCATCTTTCGTTAACCCGAATCTGCCCATTCATCGATGAAGCCATATGCCTCTCCTTAGAGACTTTCATTGGATAGGCTTTCTCTAGAAAAAAAAAGGGTGTGAGCAAGCTCCTGAGACAGTGAGAATTTTCCATTGTAAAATCCTAGAAGATCCCGGGAGACCACCCAGATTTGGTCTGAGCTTCTTGCCCAAGACTTCCCAAATCATCCCCTTAGAAGGACAAGGATCCTGCCTAGTAGAAACATTTCCATTTCTGCAGAGGCTGCTTCCTCCAGAGTGATGTGTAGGTCGCAAGTTCTTACCATGGAAGGAGCCTCCTGCCAATCCAGGACCGCTTACCTTCTCTTGCAGCCTCTCCAGCATGGCAGCCAGATGGGCCTCTCGGTTCTCCTTATTGGACTCCATCTTCTGGGCCAGCTTCTCTTTTGCCATCTTGATGAAGTTGTTGTTTTCCTCGATAGCTTTCTGGATCACCTCTCTCTCATGTTCTCGTTTCTCTGCGAGGTGTTTCAGGAGCTCAGCTTCCTGGTACTGGGGCAGCAGAAGAAAGAGAAAGACCCTTTAGGGTGGACGTCTACCATCACAGCTTAACAGAGCTACACTCAGATAAGGTGTATCCCTGAAACTGGTCCTCTGTCCCAGAAGCGGAGAGCAACGACACTGGAAAGCTTTCCATCATCATTGACTTTATTAGCCCTTTCCTAAATAGCGTCTGAATCTCTTCTCTCATTTTCCTCTCATTCTTCCACTCATTCATTCACAAGTACTAAGTGATCTTGTATGAACTTCAAGGCCCTCACAACTCTGTATTAATAACCTGCATGTGATAAACGCCTTGGATGTAAGGGGAGGGGGACCACACAATTAAATGGAGAAAGCTATTTTTTAATTTTTGCTTGGAAGATGAAGAAACGCTCACATTAAAATAGCATCTGAGCTGAAGCACAAGAATCAATGGGGAACAAGGAAGCTGCACACAAAGCCAGCTCTGAGAGGACTGTGACACTGTAGGCATTAGCCAAACTGTAAGCTCACCCAGTGCAGATTCATAGTTTTATCTCCTTCAGGTGGTGTCTTAGTCTACGCTAGTGGTCCTCAACATGTGGGCCACTACCACTTTGGGGGTGCGTATCAGATAGTTGCATTACAATTCACAACAGCAGCAAAATCATAATTATGAAGCTATAAAGAGCAACGGGTTAAGTTTATGATGTAGGGGTAATCATAACATGAGGAACTGTATTAAAGGGTTGCAGCACCAGGAACATTCAGGACTATTAGGAGGTGATCTCTAAATATCCTTCCTGCTCATGCTGGGATGGGAGGGAGAGATATGGGGCTGCACTTCCTGCTCATGCTGGGATGGAAAGAAGAGATATGGGGCTGCACTAACCTTCCTTCGCTCCTCCGCTGCTTCTAGCTTCTTCTGGATCTCTTCTAATGATGGGTCTCGCCGTCTTGGGAGGGAGGCATTAAACTCAGGCACCCCGTCAAAAGAAGGTGGCTTCAGGATGACTTCAAAGGACTGGCCCGAGGTGCACTTGTTCAGCTCGATGACTTCCATATCAGAGATGACACACCAGTTCAGGTCTACTGTGTCTGCTGTGGAGGGCAGAGTTGTGGCTGCTCACATTCTGAGGAGCAGCTGGGGCCCCAACAAGCATGCATACATGCACACAGACACAGGGAAGCTGGGGGTCCCAAGGCACACCAATGACTAGGTCTGGTCGATCCTGAATATTGGGCCCTAAGGTCAGTGACTTTGACAGAGTAAGGCTGGAGAATCCCTGGGCGAGGATCCCAGGAACTGTGATTTGTGATAACAGCCACAGCAACACCAGCTGCTGTTGTTCCTCGCGGGTGACAGACACCAGTTCATTTCACCCACCCCCACCCTCAGCCCCTCCTTGACCTGTCCCTCTGATGGCTTGTGGACCTCACCCCTGGCTTCGGCCTACCCTGTTCTCTTCTTTCTCTCCAGTCAGCACTGCCTTTCCGCTGGCTTTGACCTTTCCTCCTACACTGTCTCCCACACCAGCCTAAATGGAAAAAACAGTCTCAGGTCATCCAAACACCCACCTTTCTTATTGACAGACCAAACCCATGCCTTTCTTGCAAGCAGAAATGAAGAGATGACCTATCTGTCCACTGACCACTCCTCCTGAGAGCATGGTAATCCAGTATTCTCTGATAAGGTCTGGGGACTTGAATACCACCACTGTCACAAACAGGCTGGAAGTGCTATTCTGTCCATAGACCTGTCTGGGAGCCTCTCTATCAGTCCCTAGAAGCCCTGTGAACACACCAAATTTTATTTGGTGTTCTGTGTCTCCATGGACAGAATCTCAGAACCTGTGTCTGGCTTATCCTGGTATAAGGAATGTGCAAAAGGGACTATAGTAACAAGTGCTACAGGAGAGACCAATCCAGATCCCAGGTGGCTGCCTGGCATCCATGCCACATCCCCCAGGCTCAGACCCCCCCCCCAGGCTCTGGGAAAGACACACTATGACCTGGACAGTTTTACGAGATAGGAGTCAATGGAGGGGTACCCACAAACACAAGACACAGAAGCCTCCACCCTTTCCTATCCCAGCCGAGCCCCCACTCACCTTCATATTTGTAGGATGATTTATTCAGGGGATCAGACAGGAAGCAGGAGCAGAACAGAGAAACTAGTGGGAGTTCCTTCATCTTCTCTTTATAGGCTATAAGAGAGGGCCCCAGTGTCAATGGGTTCATCAGTCCCAGAAAATAGCACTTCTGTGAGTCAGCCCAGGCTTTCTGGCTCCAAAGTACCCAAGCCTGGGACACCTCACACTTGAAATTTGATGTCCTCACTCACCCAAATGACCTCATCCTCTGTTACTAGCAAATGCTAAGTACCCTCAAGTAAAGATCTCAAGTGCAGTGCCCTGAACCTGACCCTCCATCTCCTATTCCCACACAAGGATAAACCAGGGCTTTGATACTGGGTTGTAGGAAATCTATACTTCATTCTGCTGAAAGTACTTGACATTGCTGCCTAAAGAGTAAAGAGATTAATAGAGAGACTTCATTGCTACTCTTCTTAAAGTCCAGGCCCACTGTAGAAGGGGTCAGGCTGGGAGTCTCCTCAAATCTTCCCAGCACAGGAGAAGCTGTCCAAAGAGCAGAAATGTACCCTTAACACGATTGAGTCTCTCTGAAGGTCACAGGTCATCATGGGGGTCTCTGCAAGTCCTTCTCCATTGCACCATCATTTATTGATAATATAAAAGATCCCTCAGTACACAGCCACTGGGTTCATTTTCTCTTACAAACTTGAAAGCATATTTTAAAAGTAAATTATACACATAGAGCAAATGAGGAAGAAGAATTCAGTTGTGATCCCACCCACCACCCAGAAATGACTTTGCCTCTTGGCTTCTCTACCCTTTCTCTCTGTGCATTTATAAATGCACATGCATAGAGGAAGAGAGCTGAAGATCTGGTAAAATGGACGCCTGCAAGCACAAGTTCTGATTCTCAGCACTCATATGGAAACGCCACTGGGGAGGCAGGAATAAGAAGATCCCTGGCACTCACTGGCCAGCCAGCTGAGCCTTATCAACATGCTTCAGTCCCATGAGAGACCCTTTCTTTAAAAAGGAAGGCAGATGGTCCAGAGAAAGGACATTGAGGCTGCCCTTTGACTTCTATGTGCACTTGCACACACATGCATGCCATGCACATACGGGGGTGTGTCACACATATACATGTACCTTAGTACACAAGAATACACACACACTCAGAGAGAGAGAGAGAGAGAGAGAGAGAGAGAGAGAGAGAGAGAGAGAGAGAGAGAGAGAGAAATGGCTTGTGTTATGGTGTCCATCACTGACTGGTGCGTGTACCTACCTGCGAGGGTCATGTTGGCTGGAATCTGGTGGCTGAATTGACCAAAGGTCACAGGGCGTGTTTATCACCCGCTCAGAACTGGATCACAATCCTAAGAAAGAGAGAATAGTTCACATTGACAAGCTCTTACCATAAAGATTGTCTTTATAAGCACTGAGGGAATCTTGGGAATACTGTATCTGGTATGATCTACAGGCCCTCTCCTCTCCAACTTTCCCTTCTCCCTCTCCCTCCTCCACATCTGTCCAGACAGGTTCAGTTCACACAACAAGGATCCTTTCACAACTGACTTGAGATACTGCCCACAGAAATATGGGTTCCTCCAACTTTATTTCTTAGGGGTGTTTATCTGTTCCCCTGTGCTGTGTAATAGTCTGGGTCAAGGTCAGGGTGAAGATAAGAGGCAAGGCCTCAGTAGAATTGCCTGAATATGTTTATAAATTAAATAGCTGTCTAAACTTCTCCACCCCAGACCTCCCTCCAGCCAACTCTGACATGAGGCAAGTAGGAAACCCACTTGAGATACCCTCCTTCTTCTTCATCTTCCATGAACTACCAGCTTGGCTCCTCGGATCCACTAAAAATGACCATGGACAATGAGAGGACACACACACCAAGGTATATCATCATAATAATTATGTCATAATAACTATGTTAGTGCGGAGACATACATGGGCATGCGGAACCATCTTGGGACTGGAGACAAGAATCTCTCCTTAACAAGAGGTTGAGGGGTCTAAGAAGACCCTGAAATTAGTCTTAAAAGATGAGAGAAGGAGGAGATCTGCCAAGTGGACCCTGCATGGGAGCAGAGGGCTGGGAAAGCTATGCTCACAGGGATTGTTCTTAAGCTGGTTGGAGCTAGACCTGGAGAGAACCAAAGAGAGGAGAGAACCAAAAAGAGATAGGCAGGTCAAGAGAGGAGCATCTGTGAGTACCTAGGAGCTGGGAGGGGACAGGGCTCCACTGACAGCCAGTCGTGAGTGCTTGGGATGGAGCACTTGGTACTCAGCCACCTTTGATGGTCACTGTGCCAGTGGAGAGTGATGTGAGCCAGGAGGTTACTACTTCATTCTCAGGAGGATGAGATCACTATCTTCAGATAGCAAGTTTGTCTGCCCTCTTGGGGGCATGAAGATAGGACATCCTGGGCCAGCAGTGGGCTTAGTCCCAACCTCAAAACTGGACTAGTACAGAGTTGATGCCTGGTGACATCTTGCCCTGTCACTGGTCACGTTGCATACCCAGACCTTGTGCTTCCAGTCTTCATTCTGCACAGAGTTGCACTTGTGACATGGAACAGTTCTGCCCAGTACCTGGGAAACACCCTTCCTCTTCCCCCTGCATCGGGATTGCTCTCGCCAGCCCTGCAAGTGAGGATGACGTCCCCTTTTGTCAAGGCTAAGAGAGGAAGTGAGCACAGGCTTGAAGCAAGACCAGCTGCTCTTAGAGGGTTCTGTTCTCTATTTCCAAAGATCCTGCCAGGGCCACCTTCTGCCAGCACAATAGGCCTCTTTTCTATGGTGTCAGGCTGGTCCTGATGGTACCAGTGAGAGAATATGGAGACAGGCCTGCTGCCTGAGGACAAAGTCCCTGATCATGGGATCAGTATTCATTTAGGTCCAAAGTGATTGAAAAATAATGACTATATGAGAAACTTCAGCCAGGGGAGGCAGAGACCTAGGACCTTGGATGATGTATCACATGGGGGCTAGAGTGTGGGAACAGAGGAAAGAGAAAGAAAACATGCATCTGAGAAAGAAGAGGGAACAGGTGCAGCTGTGAGGGAAGGGCCTGTCTTCAGCCTGGGCTGGAGTGACAAGACTTTACACACATCAAACACTTTTAACTCTCTCCCAGTTGACCTTCACGTGAGCCTGAGTTGTGCAGACCAGGCAAACACCATCATCTTTGCATTCAGATGGAGAAACTGAGGCCCAGAGACATTAAGATACCTGCCTAAAGTCACAAAGCTCTAAAGTGGTCAGCCTGGGTCCAGACCCAGATCTTCTGAATTATAAGCTCTCCTCCAGTGGCAAATGGAGGATTGAGATGTCTGCTGCTTGTCCTTTGTGGTCCCAAGGATTCAAAAAAAGCCAATCTAGCCTGGGAGTGGGAGGAAATTTTTTTCAACTATGTATATAAGTACTTTCCATATGGGAAAAACCTCGGCTATGAGTCATGGGAACACAGAGAATGATGGAGAGCCAGAGAAGAAAGACCAGGACAGGGAATGAGGTTGGGGCTTGGGGGATGACAGAGTAACAAAGAACTTGTCACAGATCTCAGCACTGTGAGGGTTCTAGCCACCACAGTTAGAACCCAAAGTCACAGAGCAGTCATTTCATTACACACTCATCCCAAGCGTCACCTTTTGGAGGGGCAGAAATGCTCTTCCATAGATGAAGATGTCTCAGGAATATAAGGTGACATTTCCAAGCCCATTCCATACCCTGGGTTCAATAAGTAGTGTGCACACACCCTAACATTGTGACTGTGGTTTCATACAGACAATGGACCACCACCAATGTGACTGATAACTTCCAGATGAGAGTATCCGTGACTCCCAGAGGGGCTTATGATTGACACATGTAAGGACAGAGGCAGAGATCAAAACAATGTAGCCACAAGCCAACCTTTGAATAAGTTGATTTTGAACTTTCATCACCCTGCTATGTGCTGAGGATATGTGTCAGCCCCAATACTCTCAGTATATGACAAACCCAAAGTTCAAATCCACGATTCTGTCACTGCATCTCAACAGCTAGGTTTTTTTTTTTTTTACTTTGTCTGATTTTTCTCCTCAATGTAATCTGTGTACTTGGACCCAGAAATAAATAGGACCCTTCAAAAACTCTCCTGTTGACATATCATTTCTATTGTAGTCAAGACTCATGAGGCACTCTGAGAAAGGTTGCCACAGATGAAACTTTCTAGAAAGCACAGCAATATAAAACAACTTTAAGCCCCTGGGGGATGGCAGTCACAGTAGGGAGCCTGGCTTTCCCCATTATTAGCCTGTGGCTTCGGCATTTGGTGGCAGCTAATCAAATACACCGCCCTCAGCCCTCTGCCTGTGGTACAGCTCCTGCTTATTAGCTTTGCTCTTGTCATCTTGTCATAACAACACCCAGCCTAGACATCGGGATGGCTGGCTGTGCCTACAGCTACCAGGAAGAAGAGGGGGTAGGGTTGCACCACAGGTCAGAGCACAGAATGCTAGAACTCATGGATAAAGAGGCAACATTAGCCAGCAAGGCGGGGGGGGGGGGTGAGCCAGCAGAGTTTACCTATCAGGAAGAGATGCTGCCCAAGACCTCAGGCAGCTGAACATCAGAAGGCAGCCCCCATGCTAAGCACACTCCAAGCCCATCCCAAGCCTCTTCCCATGCTTACTGTTAAGGCAGAGTCCGATCCCAGCTCTTGAGCAGGAGAAAGCTGACCACACACTAGGCTCTAAAGGTCGGTGTGACACAGTCATTCAACAGTCACCACAGAAATATCAAGGGCTCAGGATGGTGGTTTCTGGGCTCCTGCATGGAGCATGATACAAACTGGTTGGTCAAAAGTAAGAGACTCCTGACCCGTTCTCATGCTGCAGGGACTTAGCCAGGGTAACAGGTGGTAAGAGAACTCAAGTATCTGCTGTCAAAATCAAGAAGACAGCTTGTCCCAGGTTGGAGAGGGGCATTATGCAAGTTGGGCTCCTTGTGCCTAGAACCATGCATGGGCTTTGGAACTTGGCTGTGCTGAAGTGTGAACTATGCATATTCAGGAACAGAGGGGACCCAATGGGCTGCATGCAGACTGTTTTGAACACCAGAATAGGAACAGAAAGATAGCAGACAGACACTTCCACACCAGGGGAGTTTATACCTATTCCGTTTTCAAGCCATTGGCATATCTTTAATAAGAATAGAGATGGATGGTGATGTTCCAGAAGAGTTGCAGCTGTGGCTCAACTTAATCTAGTATAAGGAGGATGTCAATGTTCACCAAAGTTGGGTAGATTGAACCAAGTTATATAGGTCATAAGGTGCTGAACTTGGAGTTGAGTTTATGTGTGTTTCATTGGGAGGTCTATCTCTGTTTACAGGATTCTAACATTATTGCCAAGAAGTGTATCTGGTGGTACCAGCTTAGGGACAAGGCTTGGAAGAGTGATTGGAAGCCACAGCAAGGTTCAAAGTATGGAGGACCTATCTAGACTGAGTCACACCCAGCACTGCTGTCCCATTTTTAAACTGATCCTCACACAATGCCAGCATCTACGTGGCTGTGTACAGAAGCACAGATGATCACATTTTTCTGTTGCTGGATTAAAACACTAGAATATTTAATAGACTAAATCTGTGACTGATGCCATGCAGCCAGGCAACTAAGAACACAATCAGACACAGCAAATGAAGCAAATTACATGGGTGTGGCTGATAGTGAAGAGGCAGAGTCAAGGCTGTTGACTGGAAAGGGACCTTCCGGCAGGAAGAGAGAAGAAAGGATGGCTAGATTAGAAAGGTGGAGCCCTTCATATGCTATCAGAGACAAGGTAAATGGGCAATCGCAGGGCTGATAGTTCTGCATGAGGGGGCATATGAGACCTCCCTGTGACAGCTAGATAAAGACTGCTGTGTATAGTGAAAAGAAGCCAGCTAGGCCCAAGGCACTGCAGTGCACATGACTCCTACATCTGTCCCACTCAAGGTGTCAATCCTGTGCTCACTGGGGACAAGAGATCCTGGGGTTACACAGTAAGCAGTTGGTACAGGAGAAACCAGAGTGTGAGGTCCTGGGTCCCAGTGTATGAGCCTTCCCCCTTTGTCTTGGGCCCTTTCCACCTTCTTGAATGGGACAACAGCCCTATCAGGGTCTGCAGAGTTTCCCTCAGTAGAGAAATGGGTGTCTAAAGATTTCTAGGATTTCTAGATCAGGTAATGATCTAGAACCACAGCAGTGTTCTGGGTACTCCAGTGAGACATGGCTGTATGTGTCTGACCCTTGAGTATCTCAAACTGGCCACACAGTAGACAGATCGGGCAAGTACTTTGTCTCTGTGAGAAACACCCAGCTCTTGCTACTGGGCTGTGTAGAAACCCACGTGGACTCTTTCAGAGGGATCAGCAGTTAATGCACGTCCAAGTGGTTTAAATAGAGCTGTCTCTGGCAAGGGTTCTATAAGACAAATAAGGAATGTTGGCACAGATTCAAGATGGGAACTTCATGGGCGTGGGCGTAATGAATTCTAGCCTAACTCCTCTAACCACAGAGTGCAGAAAGAGGCCATTCTGGGCTGACACTACTCTGTGTCCTGGTGCTCTGTGCTACCCAGGGACATCAGTGTCACACATCTCCACTTCTGGCTGGAATAATGTTCTCACAGAGGAACAGACTTACTGATTTCCTGCTATCTCAGGCTCTGATTGGCAGTGTGTGTTTTATTTATATTTAAAATCACAAGGCAATAATTTATGTTTTTCATTACTGTGGTTTTCACTCTTTCCACACTATTTCTTGGATACTGAGTGCTGTGCTAAGCCCTTTCTTAGGTACTGGAATAGCCACAGATAGTTTGGTGGTGGACAGAAACTGAGAGTGGTAGCGTAGGGCCTCTGGGAGTTCTGCTGGGGCTCTGCCGCCTTCTGTCAGGTCTGCACAGAGCCTGTATCCTCCAGTAAGGAGGGTGAGAGCAACACCAAAGATGGAAAAGTAGGGCATGCAGAGGGGACCTGGCAGAGAAAACATGGTATGAGTTGCTGGCTTTGGGGACAGGGGAGGGAGTGTCATTTCTGAATCACCCATTGAGTGTACCCAAGGGCTCCAACAGGAACTGATGCCAGGCCTATGTTCAAGAACTCCTAGAAAGTACATAGAAGACATCGGAAGGAAGCTTCAGGTGCATTTCTAGGACACTTGACCTGCCAACCCTGGAGACCTGAGTCTGCAAAGATCTCAGAGTTCTAACAGCCATGCTGAGAGGCAAGACAGGGATAGGGAACCACAGCCAGAAAACCTACAGCCCCAAATGTTGCACTGCGATGGGACATCTTGGACTATTTTTATTCCCAGTTCAATATATACAGAGGGATCAGTACCAGAAGTTAAGTTCTGGGCGGGAGCTTCCATTCAGGCGGGCTAGCTGGGATGCAAGAGTGTAACCCAGATACAAGGTAAGATCCCGGGGTCAAGGACACTTGCAGGCATCTGTGTGTGGAGCATCACTCCTGGCCTCACTCCTAACAGCAGCAATGCAGGTGTATAATAGCATGTATGGTGTGCCTCACATCTCTCGGTACATACACACCCCTTCCTCTATACACAGCACCACATGACATTAATATTATATGTCAGAAAAACCCATCACAGAGAATCAATCACTCCTGAAGTTTGTGTGACTTTATCCTATCAGCATTTCCCCCTAGGATTTTTCTTCCCTACTCGTAAGTTTATTAAGCCAACAGACACCATTTATAAGATGACCACCCATGGAATGGAAGAGGAACAAAAATATCCTTCCCTGCCAGTTTTTTTAAAGCATTTTTTAGACGTTTGTGTTCTAGTCCCATCAGAAAGGAGGAAGCCATAGAGATCTATGCATCCACCCACACACATATGTCCCTCCCCACTACCCCCTACACACATGCATTGCCTCCTTGACAAATCCAGAGCAAGGGTGCATGTGGCTGTGACTGGCCTGATTCCACAAGGAAGGACCCAGCACAAGGGTGTGGAGCAGAGCTGCTGAGTTCTGTGGGTTAATAGGGGACTGGGTTTTGAAGTCCTGGTCAAGTGGGACACAAAGACAGGATCTTTGTGTTTCAGAAAAAAATAACAAAACAACAACAACAAAATCCAAGGTTTTCTTTGGTGATGATCTTGCTCATTCAATATCCAGGTGAGCACTAGCCACTCAACCCAGGGCCTGTTGCATGGCTGACAGCATTCTATCACTGAGCCACAGCCTTAAGTCTCCTTCCTTCTTGCTTGTTTTAAATACCAACTAACCCAGTTCCCTCTTACAAAGCAAATGTGGTTTATGGGATAATCACTTAGACCTTAGATTCCTCTTTTCTTTTTTTTCTCTTTCTTTTCTGTTTTTGGTGTTTGTTTTGTTTTGTTTTTTTGCCAAGATGAAATCTGAATATCCATCCACTACTAATCCAAACGAAGACACTCCTACTTCCCCAATCCCTTCCTTCTGAGAAAATATGTTCCAAGGGGTTCCTTGGAAGTCTGGAACTGCAGAAACAGCGAACTCTCCATACCCTACTTCCATACATGTATACTTAGAATAAAGTTGAATCTATGCAGAAGACACAATTAAAGACGAACAACTATAATTATTAAATAATAAAAGTAACATCATACTGGTAAAAGTTTAAAACTTCTGAGTTGTTTTTCCCTCTAAAATTTCCCCTTTAGTATTTTTGGATGTAATGGATCTTGGGTAGCTGAAGCATAAGAAGGCAAAACCATGAACAAGGGGTAGGGGGGCAACTGAGGTATGTCTGTTCAACAGTGTGCTGGGTGTGGATGCTGTACAGTCAAACTTCTCTAGCTTTAGTAATCCTTCAGAACATGATATGCCCCAAATAAACATCCTGTCTAGGTAAACAAGCCTGGGATTCTGTTGTAACTCTGGGTCACTTAACTGATAGGCAGGAATGGGGGCATACAGTTTATAATATGGATGAAAACAGGACATCATGACAAGTAAAATAATGTGCAATTCCATTGCTGTGGGGCATCTGGCAGATCCACATTCAGAGGTGGACATCAGAGTGGTGGTTGTCAACCAGGGGCAATGGCAGTTGCTATTGAGGAGTGGGTATTTAACAGGTCTGCTGTCTTAATCTGCAGGATGAAAAGACTTCTGGACATTGCATGGACAACATTGTCCACTCAGAATAATGTAGATGGTTATTTTCTTGTTGGTTATATTTTACTACAATTAAAATTTTTAAAAATTTTAACCGAAAAAAAAATGTTCAGCCTGGTGAATTTTCTATAAGTATGTAGTCTTGGGGCTAGAAGAGAGAAGCAGAAATCACTTAGCCCGGTGATTCCCAACTCTTCATTGGAATCCACAATAAAAGCTAGATTTTTATGTCATGATCCAGCATATGACTGCCACAGCAGCAATATACATGTATATTTGCATAGCAACATACTTACACACAAATATACACCAAGCTAAAAATCCAATAGACACAAGAAACATGAGCATACAAAGTGTGTTCTGTCTCCCCCCCCTCCTCTGCCTGGTCTAATTTTATTTTTTTTATTGTTTTTAAATACCAGTTACATTCTTCAAAAATGATTTCATTATCTACTAGTTAGATTTCAGCCTGCAGTTCAAAGGCTCTGGTCTGGATTAACCTCCACAGTAATATAAAGATGTCTAGTATCTCATTGCTGGATGCTCATCCAGCTTCCCCCATGCCATCAGGGATGGGGATCTCACTTTCCACAAGGCAGAAGGCTCTGTGATGGACCCACATAGCAGGTAAAGCTCCCAAGTCACTTCCCAGTTGTTCCAGAATGGGTAGAGCTGGGAAAAAGAAGTCTGGAGCTGGCTGGGGGATCTCAGCAGCTTGGGGAGGGACCAAGAACACAGTTTTATCCACAGGCAGGGAGCAAAGTGGACTGGCGGCTAGGGCATGGGACTGGGAGGCTACGACTGCCTCCTGACTGTACATTGACCTGCCGCCTCTGCCTTTGCTTCCCTCCACCCCTGTCATTATTTCCACATCTGGTGTATGATCTCATCTCCCAAACACCCATCCAAGGGAGAACTCCCCCCGCCAGAGGACCCAACCTTAGGGGACACAGATTCCCACACATTCCATTTCTACCATTCCTCCCTCAGAACGCCAGCAGGTCACCACCAGGTCATCCCATCTGCTATCTGGTGTTGGGGTATAGGGTATCCCCGTCTGGGGTCTTCAGAGGGTGACATAAGGCTGTCTGACCTATCCTCTAAGGAATCCCCAAGAACTGTCCAGGTTGAGGACAATGAGGTTCCTCCACACCTGGGCAGATATAATTTTCCTGGGAGATATAAAACAAAGACAGCACTGCCACGTGGGAACACAGCTGGACATCAAATCTCCAGGTCCCTGTATGCGGAAGGGAAAATGCTAAAACTCCTGGTTGGGGCTGTGGGCTGAGCCTGAAGGGGGCTAGCTGTGAGTGGTCAAGATCAGAGAGCCTGGGTGTGGCAGTCCTGCAAGCTAGCATCCTCTGCCTTAAAGCCAGTTGCTGAGCCAGTTAGAATTAGGCTAACCTCAGGGTGGGGCGGGGCAAGCAAGAGGGGATGATCTCACTGTATCTTTAGGGCCAAGAGAGAAAAAGCAAGATTGCACAGAACTAAGGGAGAAAGACAAGACGGTGCCGAAAAGCAAAAACAACAACAAAAAGAACAGATGAAAATGTCACAAACAGAGTTTCTTCGGCTGGAATAGGGTCTTCAGTTAGAGCAGCCCCAGAGGAAGCTGAGCTCCAGCAAACCTTCCTCTCCCAAAACCAAACATTTTTTAAAATGTAGAAATAACTCAATTTGAACCTCTGACATATCCCACTCATCTGGAACAAAAATGATGCCCCAAGCCCACCCTCGCCCCTCTTCAAGCTCCATCATTTTGCCTCGCCCTGCTCCCCTCCAGGATTTAACAAAGTTTAATCCACTCAGTGAAACCAAATGCAACACAATAGATACCAGACCCTTCATTTCTCTCTCCTCTGTGGCTGCAGTTTTGTTTCTTTTGTTTAAAACCCCCGCCCCCACCCTACCCCCAATTGTCCGTCTCTCAGTTCTACTTACCTGCAGTCCGGATTCCAAAGCGAGCTGTTCTCTTCTCACTCCTTCAATTAGTGGTACCCTGGGCTTCTCTCAACATCAGCACCACTGCTGGGCTCTCGCCATGACATCACCTCCAAGCTCTCTGATTGGCTAACAGTGGGTTGCTTGGCAATTGGACAGTCTCCTCTGGTGGAGCAGGGATTGCCTGAGTGAGTAACTCTTAGAAGGCTGGGGAGTGGAAGATGATGTCAGACAAAGAGCCTGCTCGCCCCCCCAACCCCCCGCCCCACACACACCGGCTGCCTGTGAGGCTGGGGAAACAGAGGGGGTAAGGATGGCCAGGAGGCGAGAGAGGGTGTGGTATGAAGAGGTGGAGGCTCAGGCACAGCTGGCAGCTTTCTAGCTAGGGGAAAGACTGATGACTTGAGGAATCTTTAGCTCTTCAAACCTGGGGAAGGGAGAAGAACATGGAATCTAGAGGAGCAATAGTAAGGGTAGATGAGCCCTAAATACAGCCCCTTGAAGACGTGGCGCCTGTTCCCATCTCATCAGAAAAGCTGACACATGTGAAGGATGGTTTAGATAGGGGGGAAGCTGACAAACCCCCAGGAGCTGGTGAGGGCTCTAGCCTCACAGGTGCCCCAGGAATGCAGGGTTTCCCTCTGCCTCTCCCCTCAAAAACATGTTCCTCCCTCTCTTTTACAGAATCTACGTAGCACTAATGTGTCTTCACAGCCCACTTGGCCAGCCTGGGCCAATCAGAGGAAGCCACAGGTAGAAAATTAAACTGGAGATCATTACATCAGGGACATTCCTAAATGTGGTGGATTCCTGGAGGACAGAGATGGATCACTAGCGGTGGTAGCATTCCTCCGGGGATTGAGGGGACCCTCTGTGCAAATGCATCAGCTGATCACACATTGCCTGTCAGCTGCAGACGTCAGGTGCAGGGGGAAGGACAAATGGCCCTGTGGAGCAAAACACTCCTTCCAAGTGCGTCTTGGAAGCTCCCTCCCGTGACTTCTCCGTCCTCACCACTAGCCTTCCTTCACTCCCTTTTCTTAGAGGGGTATAATGATTTGTTGTAAAATATGCACAATGTGAAGTTTATGCTTTTAACTATTCACAAGGATACATTCTGTTTGGTGGTTGTGCAGCCGCCATGCTTTGTAAAGCCTGTCACCTCCCATCTTCAGAACTCCTTGATCCCTCCTAACTTCCATCCATAACCTCAAGCCATAACTCCGCCTTCCCCAACCTCTGTCTCCTGCACAGCTCAGTCAAGATGCCTGTCCTGTGCGCTCAGTGTAAGCGATCATACAATATCTGTCCCCCTGCATCAGACTTCCTTCTTTCACGCGTTTTAATATCTTTGAGGAAGGTTTGCTCGGTATTGATTGGCATCAGGCATCCTCATCCCCATCCCCTACCATCCCATAGACTGAGACACACAAATCACATTGACTTAAACCCAGACTTTGAGAAGAGGATTTTTTTTTTCTTTTTGGTTGTTGTTTGGGACATATGCTTGCTATGTATCCCTAGCTGGCCTGAAAATCACTATGTAGACCAGGCTGGCCTTGAACTCATAGAGATCCACCTGCCCCTGTCCTCTCTTGTGAGTGCTGATATACACTACCATACCAGGTTTGAGGGGAATTTTTAACAGCAATAGTGTTCATGAATATCTGAAGTGGTGGCTGCCACATGCAGCTCACATGTCATGGAGACTAAGCAGAGACTCTGACCCTGACATTTACCCTTCATCAACCCTCCACAGGCACAATACATGGGTTGGTTTCTCTCTGCCCATCACTCTGTGTTATTCTGCAAGTGTCTCTTTTGGACAGACATTTCTAAACCCCCAACTTCACATCAGGAGAAGAAGCTAACCTTATGCTGCTTGGGAGGGGCCTTGGGAGTCAGAACACATCTGGCTGTTCTTTCAGGCATCGTCCTCTCAGGAGTGCAGCCAGGGAGGGATGCCATTCAGACTGAAATTCAATGAGCATTGTCACATGCCACCAGCCAAGGACCCAGATCAGACTCAGAGACGTCCCTTAGCATACCAGACTGGGGTTCAAATTTAAGCAAACCGCAAAGTGTGACCACATGGCTGTCAAGGGAGCCTTCTACCCTCCCCGGTCTGCCCTTCCCAGCTGGGGAAGTCTGAAACTGCACACACCACATAGATTAGCTAGCTCTGGAAATGGAGGGAGGGGGATGAAGAGAGTGGGTTGCCATGACGATGGTAACCAATCAGCTATCTTGCTGCTACCAAGAGAGAGAAGGGTAGTCTGCGTCGCCCTGCCTGCAAAGGGGGGTGGAGTAGAGGCAAGGGTAAGATGAAAAGAGATAGGCCATCACTACCCAAGGCAAAGAACAGGAGTGGAAAAGGGAAGTAAGAAGAGAGATGTTTTTTCTCTAGAATCATCTAGCTATTGCGTGAATGATAGGCTGTGATTATACACACACACATACACACACCAGTTATTTTTGTAAGGGGATTGATTAATCACACCATTTATAACAAAGACACTTCAAACAGTGCACCTGTTAGTGGGTGAGGGCTCCGTCTGAATTTTGAGGCACACAGATTGCGCAAATAGTGAGAGAAAGGTAAGCCAGGCAGAGCCACTGTGGGGAATCTTACTGGATGGTTGAGTGCCGTGGTTTCCTTGAGGTGATATACAGTGATAAAGCAACGAAAAGTCACAATTATTGTAGGAAACTCTACCAAACATCCAGTCCCCAAAAAAGCCAAGGCCACAAAAGAGATCAGCAAGGTCAGAGCTGGGAGGCTAGCAGGGTGAGACTAAGGCTGGAGACAGATGCGGAAAGCTGGGTAGAGACGGCTCCTCACTCCTCCCAGCCTGGCTGAGAAAGGCAGGTTGCATGAGGGCTGTCACTGTATCTGCCAAGACAGCTCCCAAGTGGGCCAAGGAGATAGTGACCAATGCTCTGATGCGGAAGCTAGAGCCCAGTCAAAGACTGTGAAGCCCACGATGCACAGAGCACACCATGGCCTCTGTGGTGCACCTGTCATAGCTCTGTGCTATACATAGACTGTGCTATAACAGGGACACTCAGCCCTCAAATCTCCACCTGCTGCCTGGCTGCACAATGGAGACCCAAGTCGTTTATTTCTAGCCAGGAATTCCAGGGCAGGTGCCTCGCAGTGAACTGATTCACTACCCTTGGTGTAGAACAGTGCCCAGTCACCTCTGCCTGCATCTGGGTCTGACTTTCTGCTGAAAGTCAGTCAACCTCTGGAGCATCATAGAAACTTGAACTTCTTTCAACCTGCAGAAAATAGGATCTTAGCCTGACACGAGAACTCAATAAATCTGATAACCTGTGTCCACTTGGCTTGAACCAATTCAATATCTAAAACTCTAATTCATAAGCTGGTGGTGCTTTTCTTCCTTTGCTTACGAGGAGGCTGAGGCCTCACGGTTTCTTTATGCAGACTTTGTGGAACTGAACACTGTCAGTGAGTTTCTCAGTGTGAATAACATGTACATATGATGTCATTGTTAAATGTGGATGCTTGTCTCACTCTGGAAGGGTATCTGCTCTGACTCATGAGCCCTTGTGACACTTTAAATTCTCTTTCAGCCAGCATACACACAAATAAACACAGCTCACTCGCCTTGGATGATGGGAGCCATTAATTTGTGCTGACTGTTGGGTCTGTAAGCTAAGTCATGAGAGCAGTTTGTGTTTGTAACAAAAGCAGACTGTGTTTATAAAAACTGCTCTTTTCAAGGAATCGGAGACCTGTGTGTTACTGAGAACAGCACCTGGCACAAAGAATGGCCTCAGTAAGTGCCACTTCTTGAGACTGTCCTTACACACAGAGCACGTGATTGAGTGCAGGTGGCTGAGGCTGGGAGAGGGTGTTGAATCCCTTGGAGCTCAAGTTATAGATGGGTGTGAGCTGCCCAGTGTGGGTGCTAGGAATCAAACTATGGTTCTCTGCAACAGCATTTCTTAACTGTTGAGCAATCTCTCCAACCCTTCATTAGAAATGTACTAAAATAGCTGAAGTGGATGAGCATTGTGGTACATGCCTGCAACCCCAGCATGCAAGAGGCTGCTGAGACAGGAAGATGTTGAGTTTGAGGCTGACCTGGGCTAAGCAGAGATACTCTGTCTCAAATAATGAATAAATAAATAAATAAATAAATAAATAAATAAATAAATAAATGTTTAAAAATACCAAATGCAGGTAAGAATTCAGAGAGACTAAGTCTCCACTCTGCTGGTGGAAATGTAAACGGATACAACTGCTTCAGACAATAGTTTGGTTGTTTCTTAAATAACCATCTATTAGCCAGAGGTTCAAGGAATTGCACTCTGGAACATTATTCTCAGAAAACAAAAAGTCACATTCTTGCAAAAAATCTATGTACAATATGTTTGTAAGTTTTCTTTGTAATAGCCCCAAACTGGAAATAAGATGTCTCTCAATAGGTGAACGACTAAGCAAACTGTGGTATAGTCATCCCACAGAATACTATTCAGCAATACAAATGAATAGACTACTGGTACAATTTGAGTGGCTCTTTAGTTCCGGAATAATTCTGAGTGAGAGAAAAAAATCTCAAAATGTCACAAACAGATGATTTCATTTATATGACAGTCACAAAATGACAGGATTGTGGAAGTGGGAAAGATTGGCAGGTAGCAGGGATTGGGAATGATGGTGGCGGGGAAAATAAATCTGCACGGAGTCCAACAACTCTGCACTTGATGGTGGTGATCGTGTGAAAGCTGACACCGATGGTAAATGGCAAGGACTGCCCCTGCACCATACACCAATGTCAGGTCCCTGGTTTTGACCCTGTGCTGTGGAAACATAAGTTGTAGTTATTGGAACTCAGTGTATAGAATGTGGGTCTTTCTGTACTCTCTGAAAATTCTTCTGAATCTGTATTTCAGAATTAAAAGCTACTAAAGATAGAAAAATAAAGAAGAGAAAAGGAAAAGAAATGAGTGCAGATTGTTTAATACCCAGCAGAGAGATCCACTTAAGAATCAGCTATTTCGCCAGGCGGTGGTGGCGCATGCCTTTAATCCCAGCTCTTGGGAGGCAGAGGCAGGCAGATTTCTGAGTTCG